TGTGTCTGAACTACCTGAAGAAGATATCTCAAACGTGGTGGTTCAGTGTAGGTAGTATTCTACAATAAGCTGTCGTGGTTTGTGTCTGAACTACCTGAAGAAGATATCTCAAATGGTCCAGTGTAGGTACTGTAGTATTCTACAATTAAATAATGTTTTTGTATATATGTATATCTGTTCTTTGAAAGGTTGGATTGGCAATTGAGCATTGCACCATGATCACTTACAATAATGTGGAAACTGGAGAAGTAAGTCACATGACCATTGAAACTGTTTGTAATTAGCATTCGAATTTGGATGAATGTTTTCTTGTTTGTTTTTAGAGTGAAACAGCTTCTGTGACATTGTTATCAGCTGGTCATTGTATTGGATCTGTGATGTATGCTATTTAATTCTTTGTTAGCTTATAGCCCCTGCAGTCAATTACAGTAAACAAGGATATGAGAGTTGAGAGGCGAGAGTTTGCACGAGAATTGACTTGGCTATTACCACACCTAATTAGGCAAAACTCTTATCAACTCTCAAGAAAATTTGAACCGGCTCAAATAGTCAATTGTTACTTACTGTAAAGCAGCATTTGAATATATTCCAGCCCACTATACTAGGGGCGCACCGGAACTCGGTTCTGGCCGGTTAGTTCCGGCCGGAACCCCGATTTTTCAGAGTTCCGGCCGGAACTAATAAAAAAAGCATGGCCGGAACCGGAACTCTGTCGTTTTCTGAGAGATAGAATATCAAACGTTTTTGTGTCTAACAAAAGTTCACAGTAGGAAGAAATTTGGACTACGCAAGGGAAATGTACTGTACACTATTAACACTTCATTATGACGTTTAACGTTTGTCAGTCTTTTTATTCTAACATTTGCGAGCTCTCTCCTTGATGACTTGAAGTGTCTGCCTGCCTGGCAGCGGACAAAGTAACATATGACTATATATGGCTTAATAAATTAGTTCTGGTCGGAACTTCGGATCCGGTCCCGGCCGGAACTTAAAAAATTGGTTCCATATTCTCTTATGACACTCAGATATAGCTATATACCAAAAGTACATTTTTTAAAAAGGTTGTCAACTGAAGTTAATTTTTATAAGTTTTATTTTTAACAAAATACACTATTTATTATTGAACTTATTGTTCAAATGTTTTTTTTTATTTTCATTGGTGCCTGCTCTGTTTCCATTGAAAGGTGTTGAATATCAACAGATTTTTAACAAAGCCAAGTTGAAGTCACGATAAGATCCTAACAACTGGTTGTTGTTGCTGTTCAATTTTCATTACTTCACAAACAAGTTGAGGCCAGATAAAACAAGCATGAGAGTGTATAAGAGTTGGCAGTCATGTGATTTTGGTTAACTGTTCCTAATGCTTTCCTAACACTGTCATGGTTTTTGTTAAGGCCACTACAAGTTAATCTTTAGTTTCTGGTCCGCCGCCCGCGTCCCTTCTCCGTAAAGTATTATTTCAGGACTATTTTGTTATTTACAATTAATTTCTAGTTCTTGAAAATTTTCGCGAAGGATTTAACTTATAGAACTATAAATATTCAATTTACACTAAAAAGACCTAGGAAAATGTAGTATTGAATGGTAAAAACCGCTGCCTTATCGAGTTTACGAGGTAAACAAAACTAGAAATATTAATAGATCATTTTGATATGTAAAATCCTTTGTAATCTGTCATACATGTCGATTTAGAAATAATATAAATGCAATTTATGTAAAATTTCATAACATTTTGATACAATTAGCATGAAAAGGGGACAAGAAAGACCACGAAAATGTGGGCAAAGCCACAATTGTAATTATGTCCTATAGTCCTAACCACCCGCCCGCCCGCTTCGTAAACGAAGGTAAGGCCGGACCAGAAACTAAAGATTAACTTGTAGTGGCCTTAAGTTAAAACATAGCTAGAACACTGATCAGTCATTAAACCTTTATTTTGTTAGTCTAGAGCTTGAAATGTCTCCCCTAACGTACAATGGACCTTTCCCCTTATAACTAAAATTTCGATCTGGACAAAAATTTCATCACAGCTTGAAAGAGCATCACAAAATTAGTACTATTCCAAAGTTTTGTTGCAAAATCTTGTAAAATGCGGATAATATAGCTTTGCGAAGTTTGCCGTTTTTCAGTCTATTTGTATATTACAAACGGGAAATTGACATCCGATTCGGGTGTTGGGGCTGCAATTTCCCGTTTGTAATGCAAAATGACTGAAAATTGCAAACTTGGCAAGGCTCTATTTTACTCATTTTACAACATTTCGCAACGAAACTTCGGAATATTACTAATTTTGTGATGCTCTTTCATGCTGTGATGAAATTTTTGTCTAGACTTGCCTATATAGATCAAAATTTTGGTTAAAAAAAGTTCTATTCGTGACCCATGCCAACTCATCCTAATTTATATAACCACATGGTCTTTCTCATGTATGTTAGGTTTCTATTTGAAGGAAATGCTGGTACAGTTTTATATACAGGTAGAATATGATTTCAATTTTAGTTAACAAAATACATTCCCTGAACAATTTCATTTGATATTTGACAAATATAAAACATTTTCCGTATTGATATACAATTCTATCAACAAGAGTGGAAATTGGGAAAACGAGAAATTGTGTGGAAACACGACGCCCCAAGAGCGGAGTGTTTTCATACAATTTCGAGTTTTCCCAATTTCCACGAGTGTTGATATAACTGCATATCAATACGGAAAAAATGTTTTATGTACTATTTAAAAAACGAGCAGGAGTGTTTTATTAGGTTTAAAGCCACGAGCGCGCAGCGCGAGTGGCTTTAGACCTAATAAAACACGACCTGCGAGTTTTTTAAATGGCTTCAAAAACGTTTGCATAATAAGTCAAATCTTTATATAAAAATCTTTATATAAAAATCTTTATATAGTTTGCATAACAATTAATATAATGCTTGTGATGTTACTCTGAGTGCATGTATATATCCACACCGGGCAAGCTCTAAAAATATACACTCAGAGTAACATCACAAGCATCATATTCACCTGAGTACATTACACTAACACTGAAAAATCATGAGTATTAATATACTTTATTATATAAACATAATTCATAAGTGTTATATAGAGTTTTTTGGCCACTGAGAAAAATCGTATTTAAACACACGTAAAAAATACGATATTTTTACGTGTGAAAATATCATTTGTTGTAAAACGCATTGCCACGGACGTTTTATTGTTTTTCACTGAATTTGTGAATTTTCACTGAATATAATAAACAGAAAAATACATGGGTGCACGGAAATACCAGATTTATTTCTCGTTTTGAACATGATACTGTATCTCATTCGTTCGCTGCGCTCACTCGTGAGATATCATGTTGAACACTCCAAATAAATCTGGTATTTCTGCGTTCCCATGTATTATTATCTATATATTTACCGGCCTGCAAATAATTATTTTACTTGGAAGGACAAATGTCTGGCCGAGCCAAAAATTGGTCGGACATTTATCAATTTCTCTCACGGACAATGGACAAGTTAAAAATTCTCATATTTTGTTTTGAAAATTAGATCAATTCAATCATTGACAATAAGGCCATTTATACGGGACAAAATAAGTCGCGACTTACATAAGACGCGACTTAAATAAGTGGAGTTATCGCATAAATGGTTCTCTACGGCTTTGGTCTTATTTATTTGCTATATCTATAATGTTGTTTTCGTTGTTTTTGTTTTAATATGCAAGGCATTAAATTTTACGTTGTTTCAAGTTTCTGGCATGTGTATAGTTAGACTTTTTGTCCAAAATTTCTTATTTAAGACGCGACTTAAATAAGAACAGCTAAAAGACCTGTTCTTTGTACCTTTTATACGACAAACTCGCGTCTTACCTAAGTCGCGTCTTATGTAAGTCGCGTCTTATTTTGTTCCGTATAAATGGCCCTATTGTATCAGAACAACCGGGAATCTCAAGTCTCCATGGAGCTTTGACTTAAATTGAATCTATTAACCTTATTTAAATAGAACCATTCAACCCACTGCATTCCTTCAAAATATTAACTTCTTAGTATTTTGTCTTTTTCCAGAAATACAGTTTCTTATATCATCGACCACTAACATTTTCTAGCTGCCAAAATGAACTTAAACATTTTCTAGCTGCCAAAATAAGCACAAACCAACATAGTTATTGAACTTTGCTATCAATTCTATAAATGTTTCATAATAACACAACAGCAAGTTCGTATAGTAATTGCCATTGAAATGTTAAATATAGTTTCAACCCCCATTGCTCTTTTCAATTCAGCTTTTGTATCGAAACTGAAGGGATTTCAATGTGCATGACACAATGATATAAATATTACCTAACCCAAACAAATCATTCAGATGAATGCATTCCTACAAGTGAAACTACCAATTTCTATAAACGGTTTGCAATATGGCTCTCGAAAAAGCATTAATTTCTGCCGGCATGGATATTCTATCCTCTACGGTTGGCTTAGTGGCTGGCAAAGTTTACGACCATTTAACAAATACACTCAAGGACGGAGATGTAGCGAATGAACAATTGCGTCAAATAATTGTTCGAGATTTGAACGACATCAAGTCAAAACTCGATTGTATCTCGTTGAAAGATCTCGGTGCCAGTTATACTTTCCTAAGAGAAGGAGTAAGAGTGTTAAATCTTGCTCTTGATAAGTGGAATGAAGATCAGAAAGCGAACGAGTGTCCAGCAGACGAAGCAACAAGAGTTATGAAGGATACCGCATCTGGTATTTTGAACGCAGCCTTATCACTTCCTCAAGCGATTCAACGATTAAAAATCTCGTCCGATAAGCGGTTCGCTGATGCTCAAGATCGTTTTAAAGAGTCTCGTAAGGCAGCCACACATGCGTTCAACAACAAATCTCTGAGCATCAAAGATCGAATTATGGCTTGCAAGTTACGTGTGCCGTGGCAGCCAGTATTCTTGAATCAGGTCTTGAAGACCCGGAAGTCGCAATTTCTGCCTGCTTGTTGACACTCGAAGAGCTACATGGTTTACCAGAAATCCAAGAAATGTTCGCAGTTTTTCTCAACGGAGGATTGAAATCAATGCTGAAGAAAGCCGAACGTTTAGAAATTATAATATCTGTTTTGTTCATCAATCATGCTTTATATGATTTCGCTTCCAAGTATAGCAGTAAATCTACCAACCCATTTACTTGGCCTGGAATAAAGTTGAAGGATCGTACATTTCGTCCAATCCTAAACACATATGAGATTCTGACAAAGACGTCCAGTAGTAAAGAATTTGTCCAACAACTGAAACGAGTGGTTGTTGATTGGAGGTACTGTGACCACTTTGCTGTGAATAGCCGTGGTGAAATTATTAAACTAGGTTTCAACGGCAAAATCACGGTTATTTACAGCACACGTGAAAGCAAGGATTTTATGTTTCCCGTTCCTACAGAAAGTAACGTTTTTGACCAATACAGCATGAATGTTGCTGTTGATAGCAATGACAATGTGTACGTCGTAACATGGCTTACGACACGTGAGAAAGATGGCAGTGACAAGGACGATTTTGTGTTGTACGCTTTTGACGAGAATTACAACATCAAGCATGTCTCCGTATTGGATTTCCTTGATAAAGAACCTGAATATGTGAACATTGCTGTTGACAAAAACCAAAACGTAATCATGCTCACAAGTTGGAATGACCAGGTATACATCTGTGAAAATACAGGAAAGTTAAAATTTCAGTTTAAACGAGATGGAGATCGCCTACGCAGCTTGAGTATTTCTAACAACAATGACATCATGATAGCATCAGATGGTTGCAGCGCTGTTAAAATATGCTCAACAGAAGGTAAATTAAAATCCACAATAAAAGTACCAGAAGGTCATGAAGTCGTGCAGGTGGCATTTCATCATGGCATTTGTAAAATAATTGTTTTAACCTATGTTAACAAACAAGATTCCTGGTTCTTGCTCGGTTACTCTGAAACAGGTGAACTCGAGAATTCAGTGCTTTTTGGTAAGCGAGATCCAAACCGAAGTTGGCAAAATATAGATATAAAAAGTCATCCATGCGGACCAGTTGTTGTTGGAGTGAGCGACAACATCACATTGTTGTAAGTACATCAACGTCTTAGCTTTTCTGCTTGAAACTGAATCATTTAACTGAAAACCTCACGGACTAACCCCACAAAGCGAAGTTCAAAAACAAAACAGACGATCTTGAAAAGTTAACAATCTTCTATTTTGATAGATGTCATGAACTGGGATTTTGTCAATTTCACAATTAAACATATATCTTAATATAGAACCATACTCAAGTCAATATTAGACAAGTAATGTATCGAACTTATTAACATATACTTCAATTTATAATACCATATTTTAGTACAGTTTCATCTTTTGATGAATGTGTTTTAATATTAGTCATATGAGCACAGAATACTATACAGAAGTCCATCTCCATTGTTTTTTGCGTAAGTGCTATTCGTCATGATTCGACACTCAGCAAGTACCGTAAACAGAAGCAGTCACCCCCCTAGACGTACGCTATTTTGAATATTTCCAGGGGGGGAAGCCCTGGGCATAATCCAAACTCTAATCGTCAACCCTGATCTTTGTGAACTCATTATCGAAAGCGAGCAAGGGTCTGCATGGTTAAAGACTACAATAACAATTCTAACAGTCCAGTGGTTGTTATTGAGATCTTTAATACAATTCCTGCGCCCTTTCCCGTCCTGTTAATTGACCATTTGCGTAATAGACTAAATTTTGAACTAAACAAGTCTAGACAAATATTCCGTCACAGCTTGAAGGAGCATCACAAAATTAGTAATATTCCAAAGTTTCGTTGCAAAATGTTGTAAAATGCGGAAAATATAGCCTTGCGAAATTTGCAATTTTCAGTCATTTTAGATTACAAACGGGAAATTGACAGCCCCACGGCCTTCGAGGCTGTCAATTTCCGGTTTGTAATCTAAAATGACTGAAAATTGCAAATTTCGCAAGGCTATATTTTCCGCATTTTACAACATTTTGCAACGAGACTTTGGAATATTACTAATTTTGTGATGCTCTTTCAAGCTGTAATGAAATTTTTGTTGAGATCAAAATTTAGTCTATTACGCAAATGGTCAATTCAGTCATTGTATCAGAACTGCACGAATGCACGATGTAATTTTTTTCCTGGTCGTGGTAGTATCTACACCAGTCCTAATGCATCAGTGAATTATAGTTCAGGTTATACATAACTTTAGTTTCTACCATGTTATATATACGAAGGTGATGTAGATTTATAATTAAATCTTATGGCTTAATGCAGAAAGAAATAGTGGAGAAAAAACTTAAAGAATATCTTTTTAATCTTTAACATATTATCTTCTAAATCCCTAACACCTAATTTCTAAAATAATAGTGTTCATTATACCTATAAATATATCACCCTTGTTAAATCTCTCTTTCTGATATTACACGTAATGATCAACTGTACTTTGAACAACTAGTTTTAATTATTATATAAATTAACGGTCACTATAGGTAGATGCTTAATATGTAATTACACTAATGATTTCGGATTTGTCTCCTATTGTGCACGAATTATTCCGTTTATATATGAATAGTACGATTAGGGTAGCCCAAAATTAATAAGCCTTATGGTTTCTATTGGGCTCCCTTGTTAAGTATAATGTATATTTATTCCTTCTTTTGTATGATATTATTTTTTTATGGCTAAAATAAATTTGATTTGATTTGATTTGAGAAGTGCTGTCTATATTGCTTTCTTGTTGATTTTATTAATACAAAATGTGTTAAATAAACATTTTTTGAGATTGGAGATCTGACCAGCCTAAATCGGTTGGTCACATGTCCGGTCATAAAAAGCTTTGATCGGACAAAAGCTAAAATTTGGCCGGACAATGTCCGATGACCGACACTAATTTGCAGGCCTGTTTTGTGATGCTCTTTCAAGCTGTGATAAAATTTTTGTCTAGATCAAAATTTAGTCTATAATGAAAATGGTCCATTTTAGTTACAAAATACATTCCCTGTACAACTTGATCTGATATACAGTATTAATACTTTCTGGCAATCTGCAAATCAGGCAATCTGGTCAACTTAACATTCCCCTTTTTACTGGTACGACAGGACAAAAAAAACACGTTCCAATATCGTATAACTAAACTCTGGAATGAGCTGCCATTTAATCTTAAATCAAGTAGAACGATTAGTAGTTTTAAAACCGAACTGCATGAAAAATATCTTACTGTCTAAGTGAATTTTTAAATATGTTTTGAGTATTAGTACATACAGTAATATACTATATTTATAGGTTTCTATTTAGGTTATTTTCATTGTAATGTAACTAAATTTGTATTTATATAATTGATTCTGAAA